TTTGCGTCCCCAAAGGCTACAAAAGAAAGTAACGGGGGTACAATCAAAAAGAAAAGGACTTTCATCTGGCTCCAGGCATCTCCAGAACATCAGCCAAGGGCGAGTCGGCAAAAAATAGTTGAGAAGCTTCTGGAGCAGGCAGGAGAGGTACTTCGGCAACAGGAATAGCTTGGGCAACTTGGGGATCAGGAGCATGGTCCGACGGGGCGTCCTCGGATAGATCCACGATCACTATCTCGGGCGGATCCGCCGACACTTGCACCGGTGTTGGGACCTCATCCTCGGCAGCGACCTCCGCTTCGGCCCGTGCCATCTCCGTCGAGGGCACATACTTGTGCATTTGGAAGAGCGGGGAGTCTGAGGGGATTCCACCAGACTGGAGCGCCTCGTTCCATCCTTTCTTGAAGAACTCCTTGCTGTTTTCTTCAAGAGCAGGGAGCACGTCATCGGCAAACTCTTCCCGAAGTTGCTCCTCCGATTTTCTGTTCAGTGCCTCGGCTCTGATCCTGTCCAGCTCCTGGGTGAGAGCCAGACAGCTTTCCACTGAGCCTACTGCCCTCTCCTCTGCAGCAGAAAGCCGCCGCGTCTGCTCGGTTATTCTCCCCTCAGCATCGGCAAGGGCAACACTTAGCTTTTCAGCGCCAACCTTTGCCGCCTCGGCGTCCTTGAGGAGTTGCTCGATTTGAGCAGCCTGCCCCGCCAAGGTAGAGTCCCTAGCAGCCACATCCTCCATTGCTCGGGCGAGGGCCCCCTCCGCCTCCTCCTTCTGCTCTCGGGCCCGCTGGAGATTCATCTTAGACCCATGGTACCGAGCAGCTATTATGGAGATCTGCTGGGTAGCCTGCAAAGGAGGGAAAAAAGTGTTATCACAAAAATGGAAAGCAAGAGAGAAGAAATCAAAGCAAAAATGAACTCACCACCAGGAAATTCTGGATGATGGAGCGGAACAACACGTTCGTTGAACGCCCCCAGTGAGCCGCCATGTCAGCCTCGAAATGCAGTATCTCACTCACTGCATTGGCGACATGAGGATCCAGCAAAATGGAATCATCGACCCTGATCACTCGGTTCATGTGATCAGTGGCTCGGGGATTTCACTCCGCGGCCTCCACTGTAGGCGGAAGGGACAGGGGAGTCTACTGCTGCTGTTGTCGTGGCTGTTGCTGCTACTGCTATTGTGGAGGAGCAGGGGGTAACCCACGGCCTCTCCCGCTTTGCTGCTGAGCGGGAGGTGCCCTGGATTCTCGGTCGAGCCCATCATGCCGATGTTTGACCCTTCTCTCCTCCTCCGCTTGAGGATCCCAGTCTCGCACCTGACCCCGACCGAGGACCCTTGAGGATGGGGTGGAACTGGTCCCGGCAGAGGGGGTGCCGCCGGTCGTTCCTCGAACCCTCCCGGCAGGAAGGCCTTGTCTCTGCCTCAAGAACCCCCAGGTCGATGCGAGGAGTGCTGGACATCGCGACCTCAAGGGCGTCCTCGGCGTCCAGAGATTGAAGAACTTGAAAGTCTGGCCACAAGTCTTCTCCCGAAGTCCCCACCTCGGCGTCCGAAGGAACAACGTCCTCTCTGACCCCGAGCTCTTCAGCAACTCCCTCTACCTCTGCATCCGAAGCCCGATCCGGGTCTTCCTCCAAGTTTTCCTCAACCTCGCCGCCTGATCGAAGAGTTCAGACCACCGCGAAGGATCAAAAGACTGAGGAAGCTGAGAAAATTTCTTATACCCTGGGGTATAATTCAGCAGGATGTGGGCAGCCCGGCCAAACCCGTTATCACCCGTGAATCTCCAAACCGTGATTAGGTCAGCAAAGTTCACCAGCGACCGAGGGGGAGGAGCTGTTTCCCGAGCAGGAATATCTGCACAAACAAAAAAGTTGTCATGAACATAGGAAGTCTGGAGAAAGAAATAATAAACCCAA